TCCAACAAGGCTTCATGAAACAACAGATTTAAATGCGGAATATCACACTGCAGCAACAACACCTAACTCCAAAATACACAAATCTGTACATCGAGCTTCAGACTAGAAATTTCAATGCACCGCGCTTCATTTCCTTCATTAGTAAACTCACAGATGGTGCTCAGCGGCACTCGTTGTTCTTCTTGGCGTCTTCTTACTCGCGCACATGTGGAGCAACAAGTATAAGTAGCAGCACTGCAGGAGACACATGAAAGCTGTTTCTGTGCTCCACCTATTACTTTCCAATTTGAATAATGTTGCCAGCCGAAGATTTCTATTTTGCGAAATATAACATCACCATCTGTTAATAAACCTGCATGTTCAATTTATGATCATAAGACATCACAACAAGTAATCATGTCCTACAGATGGACCAAACATCTTTATTGTAGATAATTTCGTCACTAACAGAGAACTGACAGCAAAAAAAAAGCTCATCAGTTTCCTACATGTTAACTTTTCACTCGTCATGAACCACTAAATGCATGATGACTCATCAGAGAGAATGGCAGATGCAACTCTGTTTTAATAGGAGCATGGAATAAAGTATGACATCAGCTCACTTGCTGCGTAAAAGCAGATGCCTCTCACCATATTTGCTGAATAAGTCATGTGCTCCAGAGATGCACGAGGCGCTTTGAGATAGTGTGACTACAGATAGTAGACAACACCAGCACGCGAGAAAGTGGCACAATGACTTGAGAGTTTTAAGCCGGCAGGTGGTGGAGAGAAACAAAGTAAGCATTTAATGACGTTATTGTAGGCTAGTAATATATCCAATACATACTGTACTTTACTTAAGATTTCTATTTATGCAACTACTTATACACTCGCTCCACTTAAATTTTGGAGTACATATTGCTAGCTTTTTACCCACTAACACTCATAAGTTAGTAGTTACTTGTAACACCTATACACACAACACACATTAAAACTGCTTCTTAATTGACACAGATGTAGCACCCCGGCGCCTAACTCCTCCACGCAAAGGATAACCTTGTAATTTAAAACTAAATTGTTTAACATCCGAGCAGACACAATATTTGTATTGTACCCACTACGAAAAAGAAGGACGTTTTGCAAACTTTCCCTTTTACTTTTAAAAGCTGAATGTAATAATAACTAATATATCCCATATTATTCAAAGGCTTAGGTCACATACCGTATATGCGTTCATCGCCTCAGCCTGGTTCAGAGTTCATACACTCATTTTGTTATATTCATAATAAATGTTACTAGCATGTTTATTCATATTTGTATTCTTATTCATAACCATGTTAGCATCTGCTGTTTCTTACATTTTAGTAGGACTCGCTATACACCTGAATTCCATTACAGGGAATCAATAAAGGTCCATCTTAATCTTATCTTAATCTTAACGAAACATTTAACCCAAGAATAGATTGCTGCACTTTGATTCAGCGCTTGTGTACTTGCTATGAGTATTTTAAGACCATGGTAATTCTAGCTTAAAAGTAAGAATCTGAGTCCCTTCCAAAACTTGTTTTACTTTAGCAGATTTCGCGCAATGTGTTAATGCCTCAGTTTCATTGACTGAAAAGCAGAGCGATCAGGGGCAACAAAGGCAGCTATCCAGGTCAACAACATCTTTTATTCGCCCAGTGAAACATACCCATGGCACTCTCCAATCGGGCACACGGTCGTTTGCAAGGTCAGGTTAAAAGGCAGCTGTCGGCCAGCGTAGGGAGGGTCACTCGGGGTGGCTGGAGGTAGGGGGGGCGTCCTTCTCAGCTGGCCTCCCAGCTGGTGGCAGGAGGTGCCAGGAGGTGGCTGGGGTACGGGTCGCGGGTCAGGGCCGGGCGCGGCCCAGGGGCTGGGGGCGGGGGTCGGGCGGGCGCCTATCCCCTGTGGGGCGGGGTCTGGGGCAGCGAAGCAGCCCTTCTTGTGCCACTGCATGTCCCTCACACGTCGGACAGATTGGATCTGAGGGTCTGGGGCCTCCCAGTCGTTCCAGTGTTTGAAGTCTCCTCTCTCGAAGATGAACTGGCGCCCCCTGTATCCGGGGTAGAGGTAGCCCACCCATCTGCAGGGAGGGAAAACAGTGAGCAGGTCCTGCCGCAGTACTGTCGTACCAATAATGACGTTCAAGAACGGCCTCTCGTGTATGATTGCTTAATTCTATAACACATAGGTTTGAGCAAGGTCTCTGATTGGAACTCGTGTATGATTGCTTAAATAAACGTTGGAAATACAGTAGGTTCTGCAAGAGGTGAAAAACTATAAGTTTACCTGTCCCTTACAAGTAAACACATTAAACAGTTATTTGCTTTGGGTAGGTAAAATAGAAAACTAGAGAATGAAAGTGGATTTAGTAAAGGTCTTACGTTCCGTTAAGTGCCTTCACACTTGCCACACGGTCCTGAAAACCGTGTCCCCACAAACTGGGCACATCATCGTCAGCAATCTCCATCTTTCTACCGGTGAACCCTGGGTTCTCGAACAGGTGCAGCTTGTGTTCAGCACCGTCCTGTAGAGGAGAAACAGACACAGGCATCTTACAAATGTAAGTTTGGTGTGTAGCTCACATGACTCTTATTATTGACTCTTTCAATAACCTTGAGCAATTTGTATATACATTTTACTATCACTCTCAACCTCATGCATACTTGTATAATGTACATAGAATCCTATTTTTATATTGTATTAGAAGTAGGTCGGTCTACTACAATGTATTCTAACTTATTCTGTATATTTTATATATATTTATTAGTGTGCAATGCGTTGTTTACATGCTGTTCCAATGGGTTTCCAATTTGGTTCCAATAAAGTCCATCTAATCTTATTCAATATACATTTCCTGAAATGTTGCCTGACAGGAAATAATTGCTAATTATAGGTGCAACAGTAAGTCAATGGGTAGAAAAAGAATAGCCAACCTTTTTGATGATATGTGATAACTGATAAAAGGTAATTATTCATGAAGAAATGTCAGGAAATGCTGTTATCAGCCTCTGGTTTATATCATGTTAAGCTGAATATTAACAACTGACATTTGGATGGGGATGGACATGTGTCCCTATATTCTGACGTTTTAAATGCCAAACGATTAATCCAATAGAAAAACAATAGGCAGATGAATGGATAATCTAAGTGTTTGTGTAAAAAGAGTCAGTTTTCTATTATACTGTTCACCCACCACTTTGAGTGGCCTTAGAGAGAAGAGGGAGTAGCTGTTCTGACTGTTGGTCCAGGTGTCCCAGCGCGGATACTCGCCCTTCTCCAGAATGAACTGCTCCCCTGTGAAGCCATGCCGATCGTAACCCGCCCAGCTGAGAGGGGAGAAATGGGAAAAGAGGAGCTTTATTTTGCCTAACACATAACATTACATTTTACTGTACCATCCTTGAAAAACACAATTTCTTGAGTTTTGACAATTTAAAGTCTTTTAAAAGTATGTGTTTTTTTCATAAATGTTTACATGGACTGGCCCCCCCCCCTCCCTTAGGGGAATTCATCCACAAAAAACACACTGGATGCTGCACTAGGTCACAAACCAGAGGAGACTGTGAAGTCCATCGTAGACGGACCACTTTTGGACAAAATGTCCTCTCCATTAAAGGCAGCTCATTGTTGAATAGCCTCCCAACTGAGATACGGGATTGTCCCACTCTCAATAGCTTTAAAGGTCAACTCAAAGAATGGTTGAGAAACAAACAGACGTGCAGTCACCGCTAAATGCACTTTAACACAGGGGTCTCCTCTTGCACTTTAGGTAGCTCTTGTATCTTCTCTTGCACTTTATATGTCGTAGCTGCTACATTGTACTGCCATGTGGTAAATGCTTGTGTACTGCTCTTGCTCTTTTTGCATATCATGTATTTATTTTGTGCTATGTTTATAAATGTCATGTTCTTATATGTTGTATGTGAGGGACGACGGATGGAAATGAGCTCAAAGCTAAAATCCGGCATATTTACACTTGAAGCATTATTTGTCTTAAGTGTTCATTAATGTGCATTGTCCCTATTCAAATAAACGATTAATTGAAATGAAAAGGTAGTTCAAAATAATATTTTACTACAGTACATTAGTGAATGCACTTAATGACCTTTAACCAGTGTACTAAGTCCACATGGAAAGTATATGTACCATTTAAAATAATTAGACACAAACTTCTAAAACGCCTGTACTGTAATTATGACTAACACACCACGTCTCTGCTGCTGACCCACCATCAACTTTAATCAAACATTTAGCAGCAAGATGTTTGTCAAAACACAGCGAGAGTGATGGGTGACAGAAACAATAGGCATGGCAACCATCAGGTTTAAGAAAAGGGAGAGTGGGGTCTGGCAGGAGCTTAATTAAACCCGAACTTTGGGGTTAGCTTACATTAACTCCCTGTGCCAATTCAAGCATATTAAATGTTGGAGCGCTAACGTGCCGCCATGTGGTCCCCGAGCTGACTCCCCGTCCATATCACCTTGCTGCTCCACGCTTGACACTTAACTATTGGAGTTAACCAAAGTTATGGAAGACCAATACATTGGCACATTTAAATATTTGTGTTGGCAAATAATATAATGTAAACACAGACTTTTGATTGTCAAGATGTGCACATAATGGCAGGGTGCTGGAGAGAACAAAAGGAAAGAGAAGTGAAAGTTAATTTAGGATCTTGTACCGTTATAAGTATTAAGTCAACCTAATTTATCTTTGCCAAAATCCAAACAGGCCACTAGATGTCTCCTGTCACTGCTCACAAACACACTCAGGCCCTGGCTTTGGATTTTACAAAAGTGCATGATGAGCTTAACTCCTACAACTAGCAGAATAGCATTAGCACAACTGCATGACAAACACAGCAACATATGAGACAGCAGATATGACTCCATGTGCTTCAATTATATTTAAGTGGAAAAAATTTGTACTATCTGAAACAACAACAAAAGGGTGCATCACAATGAAACAGGCCTTCTCCACCCCATAAAGGGGTGGAAATCAAAGTAAAAGGCCCTGTATACAAAAATGGATCCAGAATTTGTTGTTTTTTTGTCCTTTTTTGGAAACCACAGTTCATTTGTTGGTCCATATCTCACTGGGAAAAGAAGACATTTGAGCTACTTCTGGCTGCAAAAAAGACATTGTGGTGTAGGTGAAGAATATGCACCTAGCAAACTGAAAATACAAAGGTATATAAATGGACATTGCAAACATAGCATTTAAAGCTTGTGATCCGACCCGATGAGGCACTAAATGAAGTTCAGGCCATCTCCCCGCCATCTCACTCCCCAGCTTTGCCATTTTCAGCTGGGAGTGGCGTGTGAATCGGTGTCCCTGCCAGCTTCCTTTACAGCAGATCTCAGACCTCTGTACTGCATCTTAATGATCTAAATTACAGCAGTGCATTTGATGGCTTCCTGGCAGAGAAGGGGTTCCCACACCTGAAAGCTGACAGGGCGGCAAAGCTGATTTCTGTTGGCACAGGTTAGACTAACGCTGCTGGAAAAGCATCAGTCATTTTCTCCAGAGCTGTGGAGCTATTCTCTTCACGGTAACGACCACCGCTGCCGACGCCCCCTCTTTGCTTTCTGAGAGGGGGCCAAGCATTTTTAGTGTTGCCCTACTCCCCATTTTCACGTCGCTAAAAAGCAAAACTCTGAATGCTACATGTCTGTCCAAAAATAAGTGACAGTTTTAGCGGCAGAGAAGTTTTTGTTGGGCGTTAGGTCTCGGGTTGACTCCCTTTGACCTCAAACTGCAGGCGGATGGGAATAGGCACAGTTCCACTTCGGGATGAAATAGACAACTTCACCAAGTGGCTGCGACACTGGGCAGTGGTGAAGAGTGAGGCTGCACTACTGTACATCAAATTTAGCAGTAAAATCTAAATACATGTGAACATTGAAAATAAAGTCCTTAAAAAAAGCTTAAGCTTGAAACAACCCAGTTACTTTCTCACTTGTATTTGACTCGGATCCGTGGTGTGAGGGGAAATGATCCACCTTTCCTTTGAGGTGTACTGAAAACACTTTAGAGCAACATTTTCACTTCACAGGTCAAACATCTGGAAGGATGGAGGGTCGTAACTTGCCATTAGTTGGCTACATTTTCAAAAGCCAGCCACTCCTCAACTCAGCTGATCCTTTGACCGACCCTGACTGTGCATTTGTATGAGTTGAAGAAAAAGCTCTAAAATAACCAAATTCCTGATCTGCATGCAGCCTATCAGTGCAGCAACCAAAACCACTAGCAGGTCTGCATCAGATGGAGGTCTGGCCCGTGTTTACTGAAGCATGGGCGAGCCCGTCCCAAACAAGGCTCAGGAAAATTGGTGTCAGCTGTTGAGATCCTCACAGATTTGAGGTGCGTCTCCAAGAACTGATTTCAATCTGCTTTTTGTTTGAACCTTTCATGTGATAAAGTACTTTTGCTACAGTTTGACAATAATGTGTTCACTGTTGTTTCATAGTTTGCAAACACATTTTTGTTGTTGCAAGTCTTTTAGCAGAGTAAAGGGGTTGCTGGAGGCTGCTGGAGCACAGATTGTGTGTCTGGGGCTTCCTGTCTCTCACAGGATGTGGGGTATCCTGTCTGGCAGCAGCAAAGACGGCTTCAAAGGCAGAAGGAAGTGGTCAGGGGATGGAGAGAGAGGTAGGCAGGACAGGGGGAGGAGGCAAACAAGGCCAGAAACTGTGCCCTGCAGCGAAGAAAGGCGTATTTAGTTCTCTGACTTGTACAATTCACCATGCAACTCCACTCAAATCACTCTTAACTTTATAAAACGCTGATAAAGATAAGAGAGGGATTGTTCATTTTGCACAGAAGTGTTTTCATTTGACTTCAATACATTTAAATGGAGACAAAACCACACTTTCACTTATGTATTTAGGAGAATTCTCATAAACAACAGTACTCTATTCATGTTGGTAATAGCTCTACAACGCTCATAAGTGGAGGTCAGTTTCTTTCCTACAGACGCTTGTTCTATTTACAAGTGAGGGGGCTCTCTGAAAGACACTTGCAAATCTTGACTTCGAAAATATGTGCAGTTGGCAATGGGAGACGCACCCTGTTCCACTGGCATCTGAGTCATGCTATAGTCAGTAGCAAATGTGTCAAGAGGCATGCATGTGCACACAACACACACACACACACACACACACACACACACACACACACACACACACACACACACACAGAGCTTTCCCCTTATTTTGTTGATAGATAATGTAATAACTTGGGGAAATGTAATACATTGTGTCTTTACATGGCTTACAAATGCAATAAAGTTTGAAGAGGCAATCAGTTCTCGACTAACATAACATTGAGTATTACTTTATCTGCCATCACAGGCACGATGTAATGTTAAATGATGAGCCAGTTATACTAACATTATTAAAGGGCCACCGGTGTCATGGAATCTTTCTTTGCTTACAGACATGTCACATTTTATGTAATATTATTGGTGCTAAAACACCGACATAATTAGCAACATTAATCATTAAACCATTTTTTGTTCCTAAAACACATTAAAAGTATTATTTTTCCTCTTTAAAGGACAAAGTGAATGACATCTTCTTAACGATGCAAAACTGTCAACAATGAGTTTCACCAATAATTAGTCACTTTCATATTTGAAGCAATTTTGTTTGAAAATGAGTGTGAATAAGGTTCTTGAAAAAAGTTTAATGTATTAAAGTTAGTTGCTCTAGTGTGCTCCTGATGTTCTGGTGTATATCAGTATGTAGTGTCTCTACTTTAAAGAGTCCTCTCCTGCTGATGTTCAGGTGTATATCAGTATGTATTGTCTCTGCTTTAAAGAGTCCTCTCCTGCTGATGTTCAGGTGTATGTAGTAGTAGTTCAGTATGTAGTGTCTCTACGTCGGAGAGAAACTCAAGATTTTAGCCTTTGCAGACCATTTACATGCACAGAAACCTGTCTAAAACACTAAAGGGAAGGGTAAACACCACAAAACATACTAGGGCCTCTGTAAGACTACATGATACCTGTTTCTTAAAGCTACAACTGAACAGATTCAGGGACTATTTCAGACTGCTGTCCCCCCCACCGGACCTCTGCACCCTCTCAGTCCCAGCACCATATGCATAGAAATAGCATCTTGTATAATTTCCTAATCTCGGGCAGGATTGTGCCCTGGATTCTTTAAATGAATTTCATATTTTTCCATTCATTGTCATACATTACATTTTCTCTGATAAAGAAGGTGGACCGGGGGCCACCATGTTCTTAATCACTTAAATCCACATGCAATCTGGCTCAGCCATCTTAGCCAGGGCCGCGGAGCCATTCGTCTCTTCTCATTTCAGGTGAGAGCTGCCAACCCATTTGTTCCGCCGTGCTCCACCAGATTTCCATTTCAGCAGTTTCTGCAAGAAAATGGGAAAAGTTGCAGATTAATTCAAACTAATCCTCATGTATTCCCTTTAATGACTTGTTCTGGCCTCTGACACTCTGAATGGTCGTCAGCAATAAGTTGACTTGGTATGAGTCCCATCCAATTGTTAAAGAAAACGCTCCTTTGACACACACACACACACACGCACGCACGCACGCACGCACGCACGCACACACACACACGCACACACAGACTGACAGACACACAAACACTTTACCACTACACCCTCTCTTGAAGGATTTTCACTCCTGCAGAAAGCCTATTTTCTCATTCTGTGGACCATTAGTATAATTTAACTCTTACTGCTCATTATAAACAGACTAAACTAGAATGAACAGTCAGCTGATCTCACTTGACTCTCGTACAAATGTCTCAAATCCTTCTTACTTGCTCTCTATCTGCAGTGAAAAGATTGAACACAACAGTGGAAATATGGCCTCTGAGAGACACTGTAACCCCCCCCCTCTCTGTTCCACAGCCCTGCAGTCACACAGCATACCAGTCAATGTGACCGCTGAGGCAGAGCATTTTGTTTCATAGCGCTAACGTTCAAAGCAGCCCAAACGGCCCAATGAAAGCAATCTAATACCACAAATTAGCCTGTCACTTAGCCCGGATTATAAGCCTCACGAGGGCCACGGCTAAAATAACTTGAGCCTCGTTGTTCCGTGATGTAAAACAGTTGAGAGAAAAACAATTTAATTTTAAAGCCAGTGTGCCTTGTGTAATTAAATATATATTTTTCTCCCTCCCTTTCCTGTGGCCATATTCAGGGGCTGCCTGGATCCCTGTCCGCTCTGAGTGTGGGAGAGGGCGACAGGGAGGAGATAACAGGACGAGAGGCGTTGTTGATTTATGGCACGATGCATTCAGGACCACCGTAGTGTTGAGACACAAAGAGCGTAAACAGCCTGTGTGTAAGGATCAGGCTGCCCTCTGCAATGTTTCCTGCAGCATTTATTGGATACACTTACACCACCTCCCTCAGTCATAGTTGGATCTGACCCTGAATCAGTGTTTCACTGCCCTCACTGGTGGACATATTCCAGGCTATTTAACCTCTCCATGTTTGGTGCTGTCAGAATCACATTACACACATACAGTATATGTCCCTTTAGTTAAAGGTGGGGTAGGTACATTTGAGAAACCGGCTCGAGATACACTTTTTGTTATATTCCATGGAATGCTCTTAACATCCCGATAGCAATGAATATCTTAAGTGCTTTGACAAAAAATCCATCAAAAAATGTCATCTGTGGAAGCCGTAGTACTGTAAAAAGCACGACCAATCATCTGAGCCGGCCCGGCTAAAATAACTGGATGGCCTACNATGTATTTGTTTTTTGCTATGTTTATAAATGTCATGTATACATATATTGTATGTCACGGACTACGGGTGGAAATGAGCTCAAAGCTAAAATCCGGCATATTTACACTTGAAGCATTATTTGTCTTAAGTGTTCATTAATGTGCATTGTCCCTATTCAAATAAACGATGAAATTAAATGAAATAAATCCACTTGTAACTGTTATCCATTTCTGCTTTAAAAGAAAACAGACACAAACAAGTTTGGTATCCTGGTGTATTCAAACCAATACAGTGTATGAACAGGTTAGGAAAGGCAGGAACATAAAGGAATAAGAAAATCAAATGCTTTAAAAAGTAAAACAAGGGAGGCTCTACATTAAAACATTAAGGAAGGGACTTAAGGTAGATCAGTCTGTATCTCTGCTCTGCTTTTATTCCAGCTGTGAATGAGGTTAACCAAGGCTTCGTTGTTTCTGAGGTCCTAACGTTAGGGGTGTATTCCTGTTCTGTGAAGACGAGCAGATCATTGGTGTAGGACTCAGACAGCTGTAGTTCTTTGACTATCCAACAATGACCTTTGCTCACTTAAAATGCAAATACAGTGTGAGCAGGAATGAACTGTATGACTTTAGCACTGAACATTATATGTCATGTGTTTCTTGGTTGTCTCTGGAGGTCACATTGCACAGACCTTGTCTCTTGCAGTGAGGAAGCGAGGGTCGTCCTGGAAGGCTTCCTTCACCAGCTTACTGAAGCGGTTAAACAAAGTCAGCAACTGCTCAACGTACTTCTCCGAGTCCTGGACGAACAAACATACAAACATTTGGAAATAATGCACATGTTGTAAAGATAACCTCTTTCATTAATGTTAATGTTGTTCACTACACACTGTGAGAACTCAATAGCGTTGAAGTTAATTTCCTTAAGGAAACAGATCAACTACAATATGGGTTTTAGATCTGGGATATCTTAAATGAATACGTTATTTTGTTAATGTCTTTCTCCACACTTGCCTGACACCACTAAATACTTAACAATTGGGTTGTATTGACTTTCCTTTTAACAATTGTTACGTAATAATAATAATAATAATAATACTAATAATAATGGTGTGATCAGGGCCGTGGGAAGTAGGGGTGCTGAGGGTGCTGCAGCACCCCCTGGTGGAGGACAGGGGATCTGCACTTCCACAAGATATAATGCAAATATACATACAAAAATAACAATTTTTTCAGCCTTGATGTAACAACATTCAATAATTATGTAAAGATAACACCCCTTTTCACCCCGAAACACCCTTTTCCCCCGTTACATTTTTCCATTTGCCCCCGTCGATGGGTGCTGTAGCTGATGAAAGTGGGGGATGTTGGCTTATCAGGCACCCCGCAGCTCCACGCCACAGTGAGAGAGATAGAGAGAGGGGGTGCACCGGTTACCGCGGGGATTGTTTTTAGCTTCTGCTGCGCTAATGGATATAAGAAGCTGCTTTCCGTACAATAATCGTGGAGGGAGAATTCTGTCCTGTCAGACTGAGGAGGCTCCAGTGACGCGTAAGGACACTGAGGGGTTTAGATACGTTCACTTCAGTCTAAGTTATCTCAGTGAGCTCTCAAACGTTTTGATCACAATTTATGTAAACAAATATTTCCAAGGCACTCCTTTATAATTATTAGGATAAATAAAAACAGGTTTGAAATCATTCCAATGTATACTATAGGACAGTAAACCAAAAATATTGTTTAAAANTCAGAGACTATCATAATCTAGTGACATTACAGAAAGGAAATGTGATCTGACAGTGATGCTCATTTACACAACTCTCAATCTGACCTTACAATGTCATGGGATAGCAATTCTTTATGCAATGGTTCAATCATGAAGTTGTCATGCCAGCCTCGCTTATATATGAATCCCGCCGTCTGTAGGGCCAAAACGATATTGCTTTCGAGGTAATATAAGATTGCTATCAAATACACAAACAACTGTAGCATATTGCTTAGCAAAACAAAGGACCCTTTTGTCTGATACTGTCAGCATTCATATCACCCACTTACATAAACCACTCGGTGGAATGATGTCATCAAGGCAATATCACTTTTCTAGAGTAGAGAGATATCGTATAAAAAGCAGTCTGTCTCGCGGGCTGCATCTCATCTTCATTATGCTGTGCACTCATATGCGTGTATGATACACTGGAAGATGCTAAAGCTGCTTTTTTATCATTTTGATCTGTACAGCAATACACCAGTCAAACTTCCAAGCCTGATGAACATTAATGACAGCCGTCCAGCTTTTGTCCACAGGATTAGCCCGCTCTCTCCCCCTGCTATCCCTTCCTCTCCACGTATTCCCAGAGATAGGTCCGTCAGTGGACTCCCCAGCCCCGTGAAAATTTGCTCATTAAGAGAGTTCCAACTTCCCAAAGTCCTGCTTTGATAAAGAAAGTTTCTGCAAAAGCATAGAACATTGTCAAAACTTTTTGTAGCAAGTTGTCCCACGTCACCTACACGTCGGATCCTATCTGCAGCGCTTTGTTGCTCAGGCGCCAGCCCGCCGACAGTTTAAAATTGGATCCACCCGCCATAAGTTTGAGCTAAGCAACTCAGCCGTAGCGCCCATTCGAGTTCACCCTCCGGCACCAAGCAAAAGGTCTAGCTCTGCTAGCCCCCTATCACCTCTGCTTTGACGTTGGCTTCATTAATAGTCGCCCTCACAACTGAGCCTTCAGGCCAGAGCTTCTGGGGTTAAACATCCTTCCGCAACTTCATTGCCACTCCAAGCACACACCTTATAAACGAGCTTATATCTGTTGCTCGCAGTGTCAATACGCTTGACAGTTAAACATCCACGCCGAGTTGTTTCAGTTAGATACTTCGGACAGTGTCTCAGCATTTCAAGGTCGCCGAGAAATCTGTAGCAAAAACACACTCACCAACTTCGCTACGACACTGTTATATTCCCTTGCTCGCCAGCAAGTGCCAACAATAAGGCTTAGGCATCCTCCGTTCAAGTTTTGCCCAACAAGGGCTGTTTAGATGAAGGCCAGACTGGCCCTCGTCCCTATTCCTGGCCGACCCGGCCCTGTTTCACAACTGAACTCCATACCTGCAAATTTAACCCAGTACCCTCAGGGCTCGACACAGCCACTCACGGTCCCCTGATGCAGCTACCGCGGTCAACATCTCAGTGGCGATGTTTTTGGTAAGCCAGAATCAGCAAAAACCAGAACGAGCCGGTGGCTGCATTCCGCTTCACCGACACCGCACCATCCCTAGCCAGTCAGCCCTGAGAGCTCCCACAGGGCCAGTTCAGCGTCACTTGGTACAGCCAGTTCCTCCGCACCAATGCTCCGGCTCCAACTGCGCGTTCTACGGCCAGCAACTCTGCGGTCCATGGTCGCAGCCAGCCAGCACGCAGGTTCCTCACAGATATCTGCTGAACTTCCCACTACGTGTCGTAATGGCAAACCTCGCTGTGCGTCGCGCCCATTGCGTCAGCAGGTTGGAACCCGTCCGGGTTGTTAACTTTAAAGGACGAGGGATTAAACAGCGGCAGCTGCATCCAGGGTAGTGGGAAACCAAAACGGGGGATGTTTTCACCACACTCATTTAGTACTTTTAGGCAGCTTTTTGATATTGTTTGCATCCTTCTGGTTGCCTTTAAAGGCCACACACCTCTGCTTGGTTTCAGGACAGAGTTCAAACAACGTCTTTTTAGAAGTCTCGACCCATTCGGAATCGAAGGTGTTAGAGGCTACAAGGACTAGCTCATCATGGGTCATAGTTTTAATTTTAACCGCCAGGAAGTTGAGTAAACTCATCCTCTACAATAACTAGGCCGTCAACAGTCTTATATTTTGTAGGTTTTAATCGAGGCCGGTGGTTTGAATCAGGAGCTACCGAGCCACGACACACACCATCAGCCATATTGGACACCAAGACTGATGTCATGTCTTTTTTTTTCCGTTTTCCCAGGGGAAATCTGTTGATGCATAGATTGATGCATTTAACTTCAATATTTAAAAAAAATCTCCCTGGGGGAGCATGCCCCCGGACCCCACTAGAGGAGGTGAGGTCCGCCCCCCACTGAGCCTTCATTGTAACATTCGCGGGTGTACTGTGTGTGTGCATGTGGGGAGTGTTGCAGTAGAACATTCCACTGTAGCGCCGCCGCCACTGTGGGCTAAGCAACGAATGTTTCCAGGTCCAGTCGACCTGCCTGTATATAATTATATATTTGACATTTCTAGATAATATTGTCGCATCAAGTGGCATTTTACTGTTGTAGACACACACAGTCTGATAGACTTCAGAGGGTTCAGAGGGTGTGTCTCTGCATGTATTCTGTGTGTCTGTAGAAATGCTCACTCACTATGCCATTGGACATGAGGTGGTGCCAGTGCAGCTTCCTGCCGCTGTGGTTCCTCTTGTAGAAGTCCTCCACCTCAGGGATCAGGTCCTCCAGCTCCGTGGGCAGAGAGACGAACACCTTCTCACTGGTGCGGGACCACGCTCCAGCGTTCAGGATCTTAATGTTCACACTGTCCGCTGCAGGGAAATATAACGGAAGAACTCTGATAAGTCTGTGTTACATGGACGCATCAACATTTAACTGTGAAGGTAAGATTCAAACTGAATGTTAGCTTGAAGTAAATGTTGTCTTATTTTCTTGTTAGAAAGTACCAGAATGCGTAGTTTAAAAGAGGATCCCCCCAGACACCCCCCCAACACATATATAATGGTTCCTACAAAAACAGTCTCTAGCCTGACAGTGAGTCTGTAAATCCTGTCTATACAGGTGTTTCTAGCAAATAGTATGGAGATTAGTGTGTACAAAAACATGGATGGCGCGCAATACAGTTTTACTTGTATCTGAAAAAAGTGTCCCCACCAATTTGGAAAACAAAGTGACGCCCATGCTTGCAGGTGCATGTCTCGTCAAGAGTTTCACCTTAATGAGGAGAAAATACATTTCTTTAATAGATTTTTGCGAAAATTTGTTTGGAAAGCATTCAGCATACGACTGGATAAATGAGACTAGGACATTCATGCATTTTAGAATGTGTGTTTGTGTGTGTGTTACCTGGTAGTGCGAGCTTGTTGTGTTTGTGCATCTCCTTGAAGACCTGGTTGAGGTCCTCTGAGACCTTGATGTCCTGAAACATCCTGGCCAACTTGTTCACATAGTCAGCAGGCATTCCTACCTCCTACAAACACACACAGGACACAATGAGGAGAGCAAAGGGGAAATTAATTCACCAAACCTGGAACAAAGGCACAAAACTCTTGGTCAGATTATTTCATTTGAATAACACAAAACAAATTGGATGAAGGAAACGGTTGTTTTCATTTGGTTGCGTTGTACCCCCATTGGTGCATGCGTCAGCATTGTTTGCCAGGTGCTTTCAGAAATTGACTTCTTCTCCAGTTAAAGCCACATCTTTATGATGCAGATTAGATCTTGATCGTTTTACCTGAATATGTTTTAATGGTTTTGATTGAGACCCCTCTGAGTAGTAAATTACATATTGTAAATAATGATCAGTATTCAGAAACATTTTACTTAAAGTCTTGTTCAGATTTGTAAAATGATCCAAGAACATCCACGGATAACAGATGGTACTCCTGCCTGTTGTCCTTGCTCCTTATTACAGCTCCTAAACTGTGGACTCACAGTCTGTGTGTGACAAAGAAGGTTAATGAAAGGGATCTCACTCTCAGCCACTCCACCATGTTCTCCTCAATCTCGCTGTCTGCTGAAATGTCCAGAATCAGGCGCCGGGTCAGATGTGCTTTGTGGTAACGCATGAACACGTCTTTATTCTGAACGTACTTCAACACCAGCAGCTACAAGGAGGAAAGATAAAAACAGGGTTTGAATTTCCGAGGATTATAATCCAAGCACTTTGAAGGAAAAGTAAGTGTAAGAGTGTCATCAAGTGCCTTTACCCCGAGGCTGTGAGGACAGAGACTCACCACTTCTTTGAGCTTGAGCTCAATCTCCTCTGAGGTGAGTTTCTTGCTGAGCGTGGTTTTCCTTAGCAGCATGTCACAGTAGTTAGCCAGCAGCTCCGGACACTTGGACTCCGGCTGAGTCTTCATACCAACACTAGATGGATGGACACACACAGACACAGAATTACACAGAGCTGGAAGGTGAAAAAGTACAGCATTCCATTCGTCACATGAGGCTCTGTTCTGACCTTGAGTTTTCATCCCTTTTCTTAACTGCAGTGCTCCCACGCCACGGTTAGATTTTCTTACTCATCTTGGTTCTCAATATGGACCAAAATAATCATGATTATGATTTTTGGCATAAAGGAGTAGCCAAAAGAACTACAAACACACTACGCCGTTGTGACCTAATCAATCAGAATAAACTATCTTGCAGTGACACTTTGAACACTGGATCATTTCCTATCTTAGTGACACCGAGAGGTTTCCTCACCCCTTCTGTTTGGTTGGCAGTTCCAGTTTGAAGATGGTGGCGTCATTTACCACGGCCTTGTAAGCCTGCAGGGGGAAAAGGGAGGATCAAACAACAGTTTGTTTTAGTCACGAAAATGTGTTAACTTTGTAAAATAATGTGTTAGTTATACTTTAGATTTATCAAAAGTCAAAAGATACTGAACATTTTTAATGTTTAGTAATGCTATTTATTCCTGGTCCTATAAATAAGCATTATTAGTAGGTTGCTTATAAATCCCCTTATAAGTCCTGATAAGATTTGTATTAACAAAGCAGTACCGCAGACAGACCACTTTTGGACAAAATGTCCTCTCCATTAAAGGCAGCTCATTGTTGAATAGCCTCCCAACTGAGATACGGGATTGTCCCACTCTCAATAGCTTTAAAGGTCAACTCAAAGAATGGTTAAGAAACAAACAGACGTGCAATCACCGCTAAATGCACTTTAACACAGGGGTCTCCTCTTGCACTTTATGTAGCTCTTGAGTATCTCCTCCTGCACTTTTATGTAGTCTTGTATCTCCCTCCCTGCCACTTTATATGCAGTTGCTGCTACATTGTACTCGCCATGTGGTAAATATTTTGTGTATGCTGGTCTTGCTCTTGCTGCATATCAAATGTATTTTTGTTTTTTTGCTATGTTTATAAATGTCATGTATACATATATTGTAATGTCACGGACCCTAACGGGTGGGAATGAGCTCAAGCCTAAATCCCGGCTATATTTACACCTTTGAAGGCATTATTTGTTCCTTTAAAGTGTTCCATTAATGTTGCTTGTCCCTATTCAAATAAACGATGGAAATTAAATGAAAATAAATC